TATTTTATAAACAGTTTGAAAATCACAGTCAAGGTCTGTCATGAATCAGTCAGAAGAAAATTGAAAAATAGCGCTTTACCTGTAAAAGTCTCTCTCCTTGGTAATACTATCTTAAAGTATTGATGTTGATGTACATAAACTGGTTTCCGGGCAGGTGGCTTCTACACCCCAGAAGATCTTCACAGTCTCTTCTGGTTTGCAGTGTAATGTAACAGAACAGAAATGGAAATTGAAGCCCCACACCACTGCTAAGAGGTCCAGGTACAACTTCATTCCAGTAAAGTCAGGGGGATCAATCCAATCAATCCAAAAAGTATTCAGCATTGGGGGGGGGGTGTCCAAAAGCACCCCTTTAATCAGGGATTGATTGAAAACCTGCTGCCAATCCAGCTGATGTCAAGGCCTGTGCTTGTAATCACACTGAAAAAAACAAAATTAAAGGTCAAGTTCACTTCTAGCTTATTCACATTGTTTTCAGTCAACTCCTGATGCAGGGGGGGTGTTTTTGGACCCCCGAAACATGGTGGATACTTTTTGGAATGTCCCTTTTGACTTTTATTGGAATAAAGTTGTGTCTGGCCTCTTAGCAGTGGTGTGGCACTTCAGTTTTTATTTCTGTTCCATGATCCTGTCAGGACAGAGCAAAATTGGAAAAAAATCACATTTTAAAAATACAGGGTGAAAGGAAGGCCAAAGGTTTACTTTATATACCTAATATCAGGGGTCATTTATACCCTGTGTGTTTGCTCACTGGACACCAGTCTATTTGTCTGTATCCTAAATTAGCACGGTCTAGGTGTAAACTTTCCACTCAGTCTGAGACAAATGTATGTGTGGCACCCTTTTAGGTTGCTAAGTAACAGAAAAATGTTTGTTTTGGACTGAGTGATAGTCAACACAATTTTATTTGTCTAGGCGTGCAGTCAATTTCTCCCTTAGGTTAGTAATCTTGTGGTCTCTCACTGCTACTGGTAGGGGTCATTGCCCCACTGGCCATAGTTTGAGGACCTGTTTGGCTGATTGAAAATATTAATATTTCTTCTGGTCATCCCAGTAGATATGATGAGAGTATAAATAGCCTCGTTAGGTCCTAGCATATCTTTTTGGGGCAAAATTCTATACGCCTAGCCTAGGAGATTCTCCAGCTGGGAAAGCTGCCATCTCTGAAGGCTGTGCTGCTGTTCACCAGGATCCTGGCTATGGCAGAGCCTAGGAGACTTACCTCCAAGTACAGAAACAGCTTTGAGGATCCAGTCTACTACCACTTTACTAGAAGGCAGCTGTAAGCTAAGTCTGGATGGCTATCCCTTGAACTCATGACGTTTGGTACTGCAAGGAGAAAAGGGCCATTGTAGTTTTATGGGGTACAGATTACACAATGACCCCCTAATCTGGCCTTTTCCTTACAGTCTTAGTAGTCAAGGAATGCTAATGTCAGACATTGTATTTAGTGTCCTCTTCATTAAAACCTGTATTTATCGGAGTATCCCATGCTCTACACCCCTCCCCAGTTACAATTTTATTGAGCATTAGCATTTGGAAAGATATCCCCTAGACTGGTTTCTGTGTCAGTGTACCTGAACTGTGCTCTGTGTGTGCTGTCAGTCTCTGTATTAGTGATGGGTAACTCTGGTCACCATCATTATCTGTGCTGGACGTGTACAGTGACTGTGCCTTTGACCATCATCAGCCAGTGGCCCTCTAGGGGGTAGCGCTACATATGTATTTCAAATCTTGGAAGCATATACTGTATGTACCTCATAACTCCCATTTCATGCAGTGCACAATGATAAAACTTTCTGCAAAAACCTGATTGCACAAAGAGAAGCTGTTAGATTCCAGATATGCCAACTGTGTTGTAAAATTTGGGAGAGTTATTCATAATTTAGGTCTTTTTATGTTGGTACTTGCCCTGATAGGCATGTTGGGCCTCTATGCATAGCAGAATAAACGGCAAGACCATTGCTATTACTTACAGACTCACAATTCATAATACAGCCCAGTTATGAGTGTATGAGAACTTTTAATATCAAAATCTTACCTGTGCTAATTGGGTAAGATGGAAAATCCAGCATATCCCATCCCAGTGGAGGGTCGGAGTAGGTGGTAACTCACTTTGATCTCAGTGGTAGAAGATTAGGATCTGCAGTTTTAATTTTGGTTGTGAGTATTCCATAAAACTCCAAGAGCAGGAGAAATATTGTTTATTAGGCTCCTTTCACATCTAGTGATTTGGGATCATGGGCAGAATTGCCGCGATTCTGCCCACGATTCCGAATCGTACTGCAATGCTGGAAAACGCAGCACGCATCTTTTGGTGCCATTCATTTTCAATGGCACCTAAATGTGGTGCGGTTTTCCCACAATTGTTGCATGATAAATCATGGTGCAATTGTGGCAAATTGTATCACATGAAGCTGGTCGCCCAAAAGAAGCTTCTGCTCCTTTTTGGGCGAGAAGCTTTGCGCGATGCAGTTTGCTGCAATTTATCGCATGACAATCTTGGCAAAGCTGCACTGCGTTTAGGTGCCATTGAACACACGCAGGGGAGTACCTACAGTGGTGGCAGGGGTCGCAATTTCAACCCAGCCCCATACTGCAGGGGGCCCATGTGCCCCCCCCCGTACGCTTGCATAGGAGGAGCAGTGGGGGCGGTTGCATATAGAGGAATCATTCCCTCCATTTTCCTCCTGCAGCCGTTGAATGCCCACTTCTCCTCTTTCTCCTGAAGGCATTCAGGGGCTGCAGGAGAAAAATAGAGAAATTGATTCCTCTACATGCAGCTTCCCCCACTGCTCCTCCTATGCAGGTATCCCCCGTGCTCTCAGGCCCCCTTGTGCTCTTTCCTGGCCCCCCCCCCACAGATCTGCTAGGTTCCCCCCTCTCCCACCAGCTGCTGAGGGAGATCTGTCAGGATGGAGAGCGGGAAAGGGATTTCTGAATGTACAGTCAATGATCAGTACAGTGATCGGATGTGCAGCTGAGGATGCAAAGACAGAGATTGAGGGCTGTGTCCTCAATCTCCTTTCTCTGTTCCAAAGGTGAAACATCAGAGGTCTGTTTAGACCTCTGATATTTCATCAAAGCCCCCCAACGGGGCTCTTAAAAAAATAACAAAAATAAAAAAAAACTACTGACACCAGTGGTAGAACTTCCAGGGTCTTGCTACCAGGCCCAGAGGGAAGGACCTGGCCGGTGGTTTCTTGCACCGGGCCCCTGAAGGTTTTATTTATGCCACTGAACACATGTGCTGCATTTTGCCAGCATCGCAGTGCGATTTGGAATTGTGGGCAGAATCACAGTGATTTTATTTTCAACACTTGCTGCTTTTGTGGGTCTTTCTTCATAACTTCTGTTTTTTGTAACACCCTTTGCACTGCCTGCCTAGGGATATTAAATATATATAAAATGAATATGCTGTGGTTGCTCTAAAGAACGCACAAATCTGAAGAGATTGTAAGTAGGTGTGTTTACTAATTGATATCCCCTGGTCTAGCTAACCTGTAAGTGCTAGGGAGATCAATTTTTGGGGTCTGTGGTTGCCACTATGTCAGTCTGCTAGAGGGCCAAGTGTGCTGATTAGAGGGTCAGGAGCAATGTTTATCACAAGCCTCTAAACTGTGAGTAATGGCAGCTTGGATATGCTGTTTGAGGTTGTGTGCTTGCTGTTTTCAGTTGTCTCTCCTGTATGGATTGGGGACTCTTCGCTGCATGTGAGATTTGGCCAGCTTGCTGCTAAATTTTTGAGGCTAACCAGCCTCCCTCATCCCTGTACATTCTGTACCCCTAATATATGACTGTTTAATTATTTATATTGACAGGAAAAAAATCATGATTGATTTTAGCAAGAGTGAGCTATTTCAGATTGTTTTTCTGGATAGTTTCCATTTTTTAAATTCATTTAGTGCATTGGTTTCTGCTATTTTGTGTGCACATGGAAAATCTGAAAGTACCATGTTGCTATGATACAATGCAAAAGAGCCAAAACCACAAGCAAATTAAATCTAAACTCCAGGTCGAACTACTACAGTTCTGTTTTTTTCATGCAGTATATGTACCTGAATTTGAATTGATATCAACCTCTTACAGTCCTTGTGCAGCAGAGCTTAAACTGAATGAAGGGGAGGACATGCATAATCTATGCATATCATGTCTGGCTAGAGTTCAACTTTAATGTAAAGACTGGAGAAAAGGTGAAGCTGGGTGTAAGAAATGCATGACTTCGGGAAGTAGCTGAGACCAGAAAAAGGGTTACTGAATGATGTTGTTGAAAAAAAGAGGGCTTACCTACTGCGGATCAAGTCAGGTCAGGAATACATGGAACAGTGAGGAGGTCTGTGAGCAAGATGATCAGAGCAGCTAAGTGAAGATTTGACCCACCCAGTTTTTGGTACAAAGTGGAAGAAATAATAAAAAAAGTAATTTTTGAAGCAGCAGCTTAGTGGACAGAGGGTTTTGTAAGAAATGTGATGTGTAGTAATTACATTGAAAGCCGGGGAACCCACTGGTGTTAAAGGAATTACCCATTGTATTTTGCGTATGGGTTGCGCTCCTTTGAGCTAAGTCCATGAAACTGGGTTAAAATATAACACGCAAAAAGGTGCCCTTAAGGTGGGTGGTGTGGTTGGGGACAAGACAAAATGCCAGGGTTCTTCAAAAAGTTTCTGCACCTTTTTAAACTCTATTATATATATAAAAGTGCTGAAACTTTTTAAAGACAACTTGTATATTGGTGGTTTATCTTGATGTGCCTTCTAAAATCCCTTTGTTTTAATCATGACAGTGAACATGAAGTCATTGTTACTATTTATGTTTTATTTTTAAATATTTTATAAGGATCTTTTGGTATTTCTTTTAAGTGCTGTTAATAAAAGGGCTGATGTGGTCATCTTAAAAACAATGTCTCAAGGTAAGGGTTATTGTATGGATTTAAAGAGTGTGGGAATATTTTAAGTCATGTCTGTTGTTCAAATGTTTTACTGCTATATCCTCATTTATCTTCACAGTGGTTTTCATGGTTTTCCACCTCAAGGAAAAGGAAAGAAGATATTAATGAAGCAGATGGAGAGCTTAACAATGTCCACCCTACTACAGAAACTTTACTGGATGAAAAAGAAAGATCAAGGATGTATGCATTCTAATTCTGAGTTCATTTTCTCATATGATATATTTTAGAAAACACGATGAAAGTGTATAAAAGCAAAATTTTAACATGCTGGGTTTATGAAAAACCTATAGGTACACTACTGGGGGTGGATATTAATAGCAGTTCAAACTGGAAAGTGTCTATCCTGCTGAAGGACATATTATAAATACAGTGGTTCCTTACCGCTGGACTATCACATGGAGGACAGTCCAGAGGTAAGGAGGATCTATGTAATCTATTGATGCCTCTCACATCTGGTGCAATAGATGTTGGAGAGTGGATAAGATACAGCAAAGGCTGAGTCAGAAATATGACTACACATGCTCACTTACAGTCTCTTAGAATGTACAGTGTTAGGCAAATTCTCTCCTAAAAAATTGCAGATGTGGTCAGGCACATATGGTTATGCAGCTGCTTTCAGGACTTTGGATATTGGCAAACAAGAGCTGTAAGCACTGCCCAGTATAACTCCTACTCCCAGCATGCCTCAACAATAGTAGGAGTGGATCATAAGAGACTGGATGGAGAACATATGTTCTGTAATGTACTCCAAGAAAAGTATTTTACAGTAAGTCAGAAGGAGTATTCAGGTACACAGGGACATCCAAAAGCAATCCATCTGAAGGGTGGGCAACACAGCAAACAAAAACTAACAGGCCCATGAAAACCAGATGGGGCTCAACAGCTTACTGAGCCACCTGAAGAACCTCATGACTGATGCTGGCATCAGCTGAGGCCTGGAGATCCACTTGGTAGATTGAAAGAAAAATTTGAACAAACGTCCAGGTGGTAAGGCTGTGAAACAGACGCCTAACCCTGAAAAGCCCAAGATGCAGTAACCAACCTAGTGGAGTGCCCCAACTGGGTATGTGTATCTGGTTGTCATTAGTCCTCAGCTGCTGCCTTTCTGGTTGCAATGTGAAGATCTCACATCAGAAGGTAAGATCCTGCATATGTGAGACATCTCACTTGGAAGTTCATTTAAATTGCTTATTTAAACAGAAATGTCAGATACAACCAAAGCATTTCTTGTCCCCGCATACTCCTTTCTGATTTAACCCAAAAACTCCCCAAATTCTTGACTATCCTTGATCCCTCTGTATGGGCTTCACGGGGTATACAATATTTCACTGACATTTGTGACAGGGGTTCCCTGATTACCTTTCATAAACTAAAAAAAACCCATAATCTCCATAATTCCTTATTCTTCCAGTTTTTACAACTGCACCATGCCTACTTCTCCCAATTTGGAGACTCTACACTTCACCTACTTCAAGATGATTTAGAATCTTTACTACATGATGCTGATCTGGCAAAGCCTTTATCCAAAATTTACAAGGCTTTACAGTCGTCAGTGCATGTTGTTCTTGTGTTTTTACAATCCAAGCGGTGGGTTGAAGTGCCTGATCTGGAAGGAGAAGATTGGGAGGATGCCTGGGATTACCCTTTTACTCAATTGATGGCCACACAGGATAGGCTAATTCAATTTAAAATTCTTTACATGGCCTAACTTACACCGCATAGACTACACCGTATTTACCACACAGTAGAACCTAATTGTTGGCGGTGCGGATACATGCCTGCAGACTTTTTTCATGTTTTTTGGTCCTGTCCTTGCATACAAATATTTTTTGGGGTAATATCCTAAAGTTTATATGTTCAGTAACCACAATTTCAGTCCCTGAAATGGTGCCTGTTTGTCTCCTGGGCTTGGTCAATCATGTAGCCTTTTCTAGGACCTCTAAAACACTTTTGGGTCTATTGTTGTTCTATTCTAGGAAAGCCATTGTTTTGGTGTGGAAATCGGATAGACCCCCTACTAGAGAAATGGAAGAAACTGGTCAACTTAGCGGTCCCATTGTATAAATTGACATATCTCTACTGAGGTTACCCCAAAACGTTCCCTAAGGTCTGGTATATTTGGAATCACCCTCTACTACTAATGCTAGAGATGATACTGTGCATTACTAAGGTGAAGGGTGAATGAATCCTATGGTCCTTAAAGGGGAGGAGTTATGCAGGGGTTGAACTGGCAGGCAGGGGTGTATCTACTGTGAGGCAAACAAGGCGTTTGCCTAGGGTGGCAATTTGTAGGGGGTGGCACTACCCCCCGGAAGAAGGGGCCTGGTGAGCAGCAGCAGACAGAGCCATGCAGGGCCGCCATCTGAGGGGTACCACCGGTACTCCTGTAGGTGGCCCAGACAGCAGGAGGATCAGTGTGGTGGGGAGAGCAGTTGCAGAACGATGCACTGTGTATCTCTCTCTCCAGCAGCTGAAAGCTGGTTTCTCCCTCTCTCCCTCCCATCGGCTTTCTGCTGCTGGAGGGAGAGACAGACCTGGCCGGATGAAGGGGGTGCCTGAGTGGCCGCTCTCTGCTGAGCTCCTTCCCCCGCCTGCACTCAGATCTGGGGCCAGGAGAAAGCCTGGAGCACGGTGAGGAGAAGTGGCGGAGAGGAAAGAGCCTGGAGGAGGTGTGTTGTGTTCTCTGGGCTCTTCCTCCTGTTGTCCATGCAGCACATGAGACACTGATAGATCTTATGGGACTGCACACACACACAGTATGAATACCACCCCCTGCCCACATTTCCTACTGCCCGGAGATCAGCAGCCCCTGGAGGAGGTGGGGGTAATCATACTGTGTGTGTGTATACAATCCCATACGATCTATCAGTGATTCTGTATCATGTGCTGGATGGATGACAGGAGGGAGAGCCCAGAGAACACAACACAGCTCACAATTTTTGTGTTGCCTAGGGCAGCACAAAACCTAAATACACCCCCCTGTGTACCCCCGTGTACCCCCCTCTCCACCTTTTTAGCATCTCTCTGGGACTATACATTGCTCGCACTGCACTTTATTATTAATTGTGCTATACACCTAATTTTCTTGCTGATATTTCTGAAATTTGATATGTGCCTAATCAATATGATAATGCCTAACATATACCTCCTGATTGGCTACCTTGGTCATGTGGATGCTGCTACCCTCGTTGATCGAGGGATACTGGAGTTGTGACTGCAGTTGGGATTGTTCTTTCTTGTTATATTTTCTTTTGAGCCGGGGAATGCCCAAAGGTTCTGTTTTGTAGAGTATTTATCTAAAAACCAATAAAAATGATTTTGAAAAAAAAAATACATTCTGTCTAAAATATGGACCTATAAATATTAGTAAAATATTCCCAAAAACGGATATGTGTATAACTCGAGCCATACATTATAAAATCTGATTGCACAATTGTTGAACAAACTCCCTCCAGCCTTACCAACATCATGCATTATGAAGATAAAGCCAAGCCACCAGATCCATTATTGAACCAAGGGTGCCCAGGCGAGAGTCTAACACAGAGTCCAGTGCTCAAAGACACACAATAGAACAGCCCAGCTTCTTCCTCCCAGAGGGGTCTAGATGCGTCTTCCAGGAGAAAGCTGAAGATTAGTTGATTGCAGTTGAAACTGCAAAAATAGCCATAGTGGCTCTGCAGTAACTGAGGAATCTTGCTAGTAAAAAAAAAATATTGATAAAAAGAAGTCGAAAAAACAAAGAACGGCTTGCTTCTCTCAGAGAATAAAGAAGATGTCTACTCTCCTAAGGACACTAGAAAAAAAAGGCATGTTGAGGGTAGGTAGGGTTTTACTGGGGCTGTCTGTACAGCTAATTTTTACAGCAGTCTCCTGCATAACCCTATGTACCTGACTACTTCTCCTGTACCCAGGAATGTATGATTAGGAAATCAATTTAAATACTAACTTGCAGCCTTTTCTCATTTCATAAATAATTTTTTATCCACTTGCAATGTGCCTTTGAACTTGCTAGCAAGGTTAATGTTTTGGGCCACCGAACTTAGCCAACATTTGTTGCCATGCCTTTGCCTTTCAGATTGTCTAACCATCCAAGTCTGGAACCCAGCTGATACTTTTCCACCAATCATAGAACCCTGCTTCTACACTATAAGAAGGGGTTTCATCATATATAAAGTCCTTCTTACATTTATAACTGTTTTTACCTTTTTCATATTTACTTATTTTATTTTTAATAAGACTGAAGGAAACTCTTCTAGAGAATAAAGATACCTTAGCTATGATTTGTTTCTGTTTTATGGTGTGTTTTTCTTTTTGCTTTTCTGGATTTCCTGCTATAAAGATTCTAAATAATATTGAGTTTTTTACTTTTTTCTTAAAGAGAGGAAAATGAAAAAAAGGGGAAGAAGGAGAAAACGAAAATGGTTGGTCCAATTAGCGTTGTAAGTAATATTTAGTTTAAAATACATTTTTCCACGGTACATATATCAGCTGCTTATTGAATGATTCCATCCAACACAGCTTTAGCGCTAGGTGCTAGGACACACACCTTGGCTTTTGTTAATAAGAGATCAACTGCTAATACAAATCCTACTCCATCCTATCCCCATTTGTAGCATTCTAACCATGTTCTAATATTTGCTTAGTGGGGCTATTTTTTATTCCTATGGTCAGCTCAAATAACTGTTTAGTTGGAGACACATTATATGTTAAAATGGAAATCTGCACATTAAAATGTTATTTGATAGACAAATACATTTCTTTTCCCATTCCAGTACTGTTCTGTTATCATAAATCCTTATTGTGTTGCTTATTTATCATTGTCATAATTTGGTGATAAATCTATTAAATGCACGAAAAATATTAATGAAAAATAATTTTGTAAGAGAAATCACAGAAAGAAAGCAAGGACAAATTTATTTGAATTATAACTCTAGCACAAATGTTCTTTTATGTTTGGAAAGAATTGGAAGTGGTAAAAACCCCTGTCAGTTTGTATTTCTGTTTTGGTCCCTATTGGGAAGTTTACCTTACTTACTGTCTCAGTGACCATCGTCAAAGGAAAAGTGAGATAAGGCTTAAAGTGGTTGCAAACCCTAACATATATCCAGTGAAGTAACTGGCTTCAGGTGATACACAGAGATGAAACAAATCCTCCCACATAAGCTGTACCTGTTTATTTGCGGTCTTCTGTACATCCAATCAAAGTAATGAACTTATAAAACTTGTCTGAGAGCTCAAAAAAAAAAGGAGTGGAGAGCTGAAGTTACACTCTGCAGAGCTTGGTGAGGTGAGCTCTGCGAGCTGATTGGAGGGAAGAGGCACACTCCCTTTCATACAGTTTACAGGAACAGAGCTGAGGCTGTTAATCTGCAGAAGGTCCTTCCCCTGTCACCATTTTTTCTCTTGGTGTCAGGAAAATTGTCAGAAGTGACTCATGATGATAGCAGAGGAACGAAGCAGCAGACAGAAATGACACTTGGGATTTGATTTACTAAAACTGGAGAGTGCAAAATTTGGTACATCTGTGCATGGTAGCCAATCAGCTTCTAACTTCAGCTTGTTTCAACCCCTTAGTGCTCTTAATTGAGACAAGTACACACTTTAGAGGGATATGCTTTGTTCATATTTCATGTCTGAGGTTTACAATCACTTTAATGATACATCTCAGAAATAATAACCTGACAGATTCTAACCTTTCCTCATTCCATCCCAAAAAATGGAGAGCACCTTAAAAATAAAGAAAATAAAAAAATATATGTGCAATACAGAGGTGCTGAATGATATTTCTCAGCTTGGCAGACCTATAGTATATTTTTAATTATGCTTTTTTTTTTCTCTCTTTTTATTTAGTTCCGCTATGCAGATGGCCTGGATATTTTTTTCATGATTATAGGATCCCTTGGAGCACTTGGGAATGGGCTCTGCCTTCCCTTAATGCACATTGTATTTGGTGAAATGACTGACAGTATTCTTTGCCATAACACATCCCTACAAAATTCATGTAAGTTTATGTAATATCAGTTTATGTATTTATTAGTATATCTGACATAGTGGTTCTCCAATAGAAAGAACTTGGATGTTTCGACTCAACTACAAAAGGTACTGAAAATGCATAGATTACGATTGCCACCTATCTGGTCAGCCTAGGTTTTGTAATGCCTGCCTGGTTTTCAGATTTTAAAGTGTTACTAAACCCATGACCCAGCATTCACTATATCTGGTCTTCCACAGTACACAGAACATGGAAATCCAAATATTTATGTAAATATAAACTGCTAAATACCTTTTCTCATCAGCAGTAAATAGCTGTCTTTTGACTTCTATCAGTGTCTAGCCGAGCACTAGTTAATCTTGTAGGAGGAGTTTACATTCTTTTCTAACTATACTATGAGACTGCATGACCCCGACCCTCTGTCTGGACAGTGCTGATTGGCTCTGTACTGATCACATGCACCCTCCCAAAAAAAAAAAACTCTCTAGCAACACTCACCAAACAGAGCATGTGCAGACTTGCCACTGCTGCTCTGTACTATTGCAGATGGATTGGGAACAGTGATGAAGGACAGAAGACAGGATCAAACAGCCTTTTTACACAATGCAAAACATTAACCCCTTAGGTTCCACAATGAGTTGTGGTGGTTTATGTAAGAATTTATTCTAAATATGTAGGGCGGTGTCCTTTCCCTTAACCAAATATTGCAGTGCCTCCAGCCGTTAAAATACGGCAAATATTTAATGAACCAATAATTTGGACACCTTAATAATTTGATCACCACTTAATAAATAGCACCTTGAGTCCTTTTAGCCAGTATGATTTCGTACCATATACACAAAAATTGCCTTTTTAATAAATAAATAAATAAATTTATTTATGTACAAAATTTATACCTTTATATTAACACAAATGCAAAAGACTGGTGATAAATGTATACTTGTACATACAATCAAAAATATAATATACTAATTCTATATACCAAAAAACATATATAGGTAATGGTAAAGATTAAAATTTAAATTTCGTTATAAGTGATAACCTTGTAGTGCTTCAGGAAATTTGTCAAGGTCCTACCTTTTCCCTGAGGTTATGTTACTCCATGTGCTGGCGTCCATCTTGGATTCCGCTGTGCATGGTGGGAATCCTTTTATGCCTTCAGGTCTCTGAGGTCCATCCCCCAGAGGGGTGTGGCTGATGACATATAAGCTTGTGGCCCGCACATGCTCTTTGCACTTGTGCCGCTATTACTCTGTTCTGACTCTCGTGACTCTCCTGGTATCTGATTCGGCTTGTGACTTGACTATTCTTTGTATTCTCCTTTGATCTGACCCTCTGTTGCTGAACCCGGCTCGTGACCTGTGATTCTCGTCTGCTGTCCTGTACTGTTTTGTCCTGTTGTTGTTGACCCCGGCCTGTCTGACTACTCTTTTGTCTCTTCCACCAGCTACACGCCATTGGCGGCGGCCATTACCGCAGCTGAGGTGTCTCGGGGGCCGTGACCTGGTTCCTGGCTGCGTCAAGTCCATCCCCACCATCAGGGGCCCTGGTGAAGGGCAGCCTGGGACTTAGACTCCGCGCCCTGAGGGACTTTGGTCTGTGGGTGGTGGTTGTCGTCAGCCAGTGCGTTACATTGTTAGGCCTGCCTGTCCGTTCCTCGGCTCCTGCCCTGACAGTATTTCTATCATTCCGTGGCCATAGGAATGTCAGAAAATCTTCTCTGATAAAATGGCACTATAACCAACTACAAATTAATTAATTCTGCAATATCTATAATTTCAATCTTAAATCAAATAATTTTTTTAGTAATAATTATATATATCTTAATATATCTAAACACCCAATTACAACGCTATCAGTCTATGAAAAATAGGAAATATAAGATACAATATAAACTCTTAGCAGTCTCACCACTCCCCAGAACCTTGAGTTTGAGGCTTCCCCCAGTGGGATGTACTTGGGGCCTTCAAATGGTCCTCAAGACAAAATGGCAGCTGGACTCCTTCAGCAAAATGGCCGCAGGGAGCAAGTGAGAGATAGTGCAGTGGGTTGCAGTTTTTAGGAAAAGAAGTTTAGAAGTTTAGTAGAAGTTTTTCAGAAATTTTAAAAGATTGAGAAGTAGTATTAGAAGATCTTTAAGTTTTTCAGATGGGATAGATTTCAGCTTCGTCAGATTTCTTCAGCTTTTCAGATCTCCTTCCTTTTGTTGGTTGGTTTTTCTTTAGCTGTTCTTTTTTTTAGCATGATCCTTATGTGAGGTGCATGGCTTTTTTATACTATCTAATCCTTTGTTTTAAAGGACCCTCCCAACAGGCTTGTTGATTGGCCGGTCGGGAAGTGTGTATACATATGATATGTCTTACCTGTCCACTGGGGGGCAGTCAGGGATCACAAAACAATTTGAGTATTCATGATGACTTATGCTTTGATTGGAACCAAGATAACTTTAGGTATTAAATATGTATATGTCTTATCCAAATGTAGTTAATTTCACTACTAATTCTTGGATAAGAACCATAGAAAGATATATGTTCATTTAGTTCCTTGATATTTAAACTGTTCGAAACATTTGATTTTCTGATGGAAATATACAACTGATACCAATTCACAACATATCTTACTCTTCATCATTTCATACTTAATTTAGTGGTATGCAATCCCCAACTCTGCTGAATATATTTTTGTGTGTGGAAACATACTCTTTATAACATCCCATTGAGATCCCCCACACTTTCCTTGGTATTTCAATCGACCCAGATTTCACCTTGGCTGGAAGTATAGTTCATGGGAATGTGACAGAGAACCTTATCCATTGTTGAGTATTTAAAGTACATAGACTGGCCTGTAGTTAAACCTTAATTCAATAACCTATTGTGACAGTTCAAGAAGTTTGTTTGTTCATCACACTTTCCAAGGTTTTGGGTGAACCTTCAGCCAGTTAGGTTTCAGTCTCATCATTGTTCTTTTGGTTAGGTGTGATGACTCACTGTTTGGATGTCCAAACAGTGGTATTTGACTTTCTAATTAAGTTTCCTGCCATTGAAGTATCTCCTAGCCATAGATCATGGCATTTGTTTTAGGAAACATATATCTGCCAGGTCTTTTGGACTAATCGACATCAGATCCCACCATTATCTTTCTCGGGGACTTTGATCACCTGTAGGCATTTCAATAGTATATTGTGTCTGGAACAAGTCTCTTCCACTCATTGTGTGTGTGATTCACTAGAAGGTCACTTGAATTCTAACCAAGAAATGTTAACCCCTCACAGACAGCTGGGCTTCTTACTTTTGGAATAAAATTATATTTTTAATAAATAATCCCCCAAAAGTCACTACAGAGTATAACAAGCATGCTTTACTGCGTATACAGACTGATTTTACTGTTGTGGGTTTAGTAACACTTTAACTGCCTCCCGCCCGCCGTATTGGGAAATGACGGATGGGTGGGAGCTCTCTTGTTCTGGGAGGACATCATATGATGGCCTCCCACTCTAGCTGAGTATGCACGCCCCAGGGGCACACGGGATGGGTGGTGTGCTGTATCCCTAGGACACAGCAGATCACCGGTCGCGGTAAAGAGCCGATGATGTAGGCTCTTTACCAATCACAGCTTATCACATGTAAATAGGAAATGCTGGTTATCGGCAGTCCTCTCCTCATGCTAACAGCATGTGAGAAGGGGAGATCCCATAAGCAGCAATCCACACAGGGGACATCTACACTGATAATCAGGGCACTGATCATCAGTGCCTTGATTATCAGTGCAGCTCCATCAGTTCCCATCAGTGCTGCCCTTCAGTGCCCATCAGTGAGGCCTCTCAGTGTCCAGCAATGCTCTCTTTCAGTGCCCATCAGTGCTGCTTATCAGTGCCCATCAGTGCCGCCTATCAGTGCCCATCAGTGCCGCCTATCAGTGTCCAATAGTGCCGCCTATCAGTGCCTATCAGTCCCACATATCAGTGCCCATCAGTGCCATCTATCAGTGCCCATCAGTGCCACCTATCAGTACAGCCTCATCAGCACACAACAGTGAAGGATAAAAATTACTTATTTTCAAAACTGTATACCAGAAACTAAGAAAAACTTTTTTTTTTCAAAATGTTCAGTCTTTTTGCAATTGTTTAGCAAAAAAATAGAAAACCCAGTGGTGATTAAATAACACCAAAAGAAAGTTCTATTTGTCTCAAAACAAATGTAAAAAATGTTGTTTGGGTACAGTGATGCATGACCGCACAATTGTCTTTCAAAGTGTGACATCACTGAAAGCTTAAAAATTTTCCTGGACAGGAAGAGGGTGAAAGTGCCCGGTAGGCAAGTGGTTAATCAGGTTTTTATTTTATGCTTCTACAGAAACCGGAGCACTAAAAAAGTGTGTACATTAGACATTGGTGTGCTCTTTGCTGCAGAGAAAGCCTCCAGTAAGAAAAAGATATTGCTGTAATGAGTGACAGGCAGCTGGACCAATCAGAAGTTCCCAAGCTGCATATTTATCCAAAATGACCTGGGCTGAGTAAAAAATGAGTAGCTTGCCGAAAGATTGTATATTTTTACTATTGTACAGAGTGAGAAGAGGCATGCTGTTAGCTACCTGACTTCCATTGTATCCATTAATTGTTTGTAAGGTACAGGTCTAGTTCATTAGGGACCTGCTTTATCTGTCAGTTTTAGTGCCCGTATGACTGAAATGCTATCTAACATCCCATGAATTATTGACTTAAAAGTGCAGCCTCTTTATTTTTGTGCCCTTGGTATGTTCCCCCTCCTGTATGGTATGGCTTTCAGTGATCTATATACTCGGCACAACCTTGTCTTTTATATTCTACCAAAATGTGGGTAATTTATTGCGTTTGCTTTATAATTCACTTTAGTGTGATTTTTTTTTGAAAGTGTGCGTTTCCTAAACCTTTGCAATAATATTATGTGACATAAAAAATTGGAACTACCACTATTTTATTGTCTTGGGTGTCTGTTTTCAGAAATATATATAATGTTTTGGGGGTTTTGTGT